TTATTATTATTATTATTATTATTATTATTATTATTATTATTATTATTATTATTATTATTATTATTATTATTATTAATTATTATTAACAAGACAATGCCTATTGTAGGTTGGGATCTTGACGGGTTACAGATTGCTAACCGTTGATTTGTGAATGGGGAGCCTATATAGTGAAAAACATTCTATTACTGCATTCACACATGGGAATTATTTGGATAATTGGATGAGTCAATACTTATAGAGTAGGGTACCGGGTAAATAAAATACCAGGCATAAGGTTTTGTATAAGCTTAAAGCTTTTTTCTTTGACACAAAATTCCAATAAAGTATTGGCATGACTGCCGAAGAGAACAAAAAATTATTTTTAAAAAAAACTTTATGATGTATAATTGCTTATTATTCACAGGGTTTTACCATCAATTATAAAATCTGCAACGTGACGTATCTACAACTTTTATTTAACAATGAAACATTGATCGATCTCATATTAATAATACCAAAAAGAGTTTATTACAAAAAAATATATCCGAAAGATGGTAAGTTGTAAGTGTTACGTTCAAACAGTTGATTACTATCTTTACTATATGTGTACAAGCAAAAGTTCAATTCCTGTTACTCCAGGACATTATTAAAAAACTTTTTTTCCCAATATTACTTTATTATTTTCTTAGTACCACAAGATAATCTTTAGCTCCTATATTTTTACATAATAAGTCTTGGCTCTTATTATTTTTGGTTTAATATCCAAATACGTAGATAATTTATGCATTCCTGGAATAGCTTACTTGACATTATTATGATCTCCTTACATATTGATTTGTAAATGAAAATGTAAATGTTTTGTTTATTATGTCCGATCGATCTGTATGTCAAAGATTTTGGTTTGATTCATGTTACACCTGGTTTTAGACTGGTGACATACATATGTATGTAGATAGGATAAGAGTTGATGTGAGTTGAAATAGATATCACATACTATAACATATCACATAACACGAATTTGTTAATTTGCAATAGTTAATTGCCCTTTTGATAAATTGTACTATTAATCAATTGACAATGAAGTGAAATCATTTATAGTGCAAGAGATCCGTCGGTTCAAATTACCATTGTGATTGACAAAGTCACAGCAGAAGATGACACTACGTATTGTGATCTTCAGGCCAACCCAAATATAGGAGTAATATGATAGCCATGAAATTCCATGTCGAAGGGATTGGAATGGTCTGCGATCATGAGACGCAACATTTTCAGCTATGACTAACCTAACTTAATTAACAAGCTCATATATACTCGTAGAACATTGTTTAGTTGTGTAGTTCGCAAATTTACAAACTTTATTGGCAACTCAAAAGTTATAATAAAAGTTATAATAAAAGTTATAATAACACTAATAATGATAATAACTAATAATAATAATAACACTAATAATAATAATATCCGGCCACATCACGTGAAGATCGTCCAATCAAATAGTAACATATGTAAATGTACTCACTCCGGACATTAATAATGATGATAATATGATAATAATAATAATATAAACTAATAATAACGATGCTATATGTACTCAATATTTACATTTTAAACCAACATCTGCTGCAATCCTACCGACAACCGGACGCAGACGCTAATTTAAACCATTCGTTTATCTTTTTTTAGTAGAATATCTACCAGAAATTTTATGCCAGTAAAACGAACCAACCATTATATCTATTAATGCATTGATATATTTAATAGTGTTTTGATCTACTAAACTAAATTGCATTAATTTGTCAACAAATTTTTTGATTTGAGTCATTCGATTATTTATTAACACCACTGCGTGATCAATAGCTTCTCTTAGGGAATAATTATTTGAATGTTGTAAAATTACAATTATATTATCAACTTCACCTTTCGTTAATTCTTTTTTAAGCGAGTAAAGATCATTAATGAAGCATATATGATCATTGCAATAATTCACAAGATTTTGCAAATCTATATTATTTTGCGAAATTTGAATTTCGAGCAGAGGTTCGATCAAGTTAAAACTAGTCATTACTGCTCCTGAATGCCTTCTGATCTTGGAATATTCTTCTACGGAATTAGGAAGATTATGTGAACGTTTATTAAGTGCATTTAAGTAGCATGCATCAAAATAATGTAAAACACTATTGCGAAATTTCAGTTGCCATTTTTCACTAGTAATTTTTTTCATTCTAGACCATACATCCCATAATGCAATAGCAATTGAGCTTTGTAAAACCCCTGGTAATAATTTATTATCTAAAATACTTTTGAATTTATCGAGTTCTATTTTTATTTTTTCGGGGTTGTCTTTTAGATTTTTCTTGTTATCTACCAAATCATCAACAAAAAATAACCAATTAAAGAAATCGATAGCAAGACAACGTCTCTCGAAGGATACAGTTGGAAATATATAACAAATAAGTAATCCAAATTTACTTCCTTTAAATTTTTTATCCGTAGTCTTTCCTGTAATCAAATCAAACTTCTTTGCCCATTCATAACAATGTTTTTCGATTTTTAATATTTCTTCCATTGAAATATTATTATGCACTTGGAACCGAAATTCACATTTCAATAGTTCTAAATTTTGATTTATTTCATCAAGAGTATCTGTAAAGTTCGATTGTGCATTCAATTGTATTGTTCGAAATTTTTCTTTTTTCGAAACTTTCTGTTTTTTCGTTAGTTTGATGTCTTTTATTTTTATTGTCTTTCTTTGACTTTTTGGCATCGTTAATTAATAATCAATATTTAATAATCAAGTGAGTAGTTTCGCTTTTTCAAAATTTTAGATTGATTTAATTCTCATAATGGCATGATTTTATATAACAATTTTTTAAATGTTTAAGATGTGATACTTAATTTTGTGATAATTAACTAATGGTTTTTTTGTACTATGTGAACAAAAAATTTTTCACCAAATTCTCACCTTAGATTTTGTGATTTAAATAACATGCTATTAAATCAAATCACGACTAGACGGTATATATCGATTAGTTGTTTAAAATATTTTCTAATAGATTAATTGGAAAGTTGGCAACTACCGTACAGCGTGGACTAATATCCGGGTATTTTACATCCTTAATTGTAGTTCATCCGTCTTTAGTACCCGTGATACTTCCACGTTCTAGACCTCTGAAAATCGTGAGGGGTATTATAAAAGAGGTCTTTTAGCCGGTAATCTATTTCTCAACTAACGATTGAAACATTAGTCTTGTGATTTACGAAGGGCTTATCAAAATTAAGTTTAGAATTGTATATCGATATCAGCGTAGATCATCGAATTTTCACATTTCGATTGATTACTGCGGAGAATATTACTTTTACGAATATTTATTACCGTCTATGCTTACACTATGAATTGTTTTTGGTCTAATTATTTGTCATTTACTTTTTGTTTTTCTCTTATTTTTTTTTGTAGACTAGTAAAGTTTATCAAAATCCAAATTACGTAAAAAAAACTTTTATAATTGGCTCGCTTTCTATATTTAGTTCCTTATTCTCACTCCTGTAAGCTATTATTAATTCGAATTCATTATTGAATGAATTTCCTGCGTATTTATCTAGTACATTGCTTTGAAATAGTGCTGATGATTAGTGAATTTTATTTTTATGCGATTTTGATTGTCCAAAATATATTACGATAGAGGCATAGTAGCTCTAATGTCTGTGAATGCAAGAATGTGTGTGGATTTTATTTATTAAATGCCAATGAATCCTATTGTTAAAGGTAAAAACATGAATAAAAAATACGCATTATAAAATTCTAGTAAAAATAAATCTAAATTAGTTAATTAATTCATTAATTCATTATTATCATTATTATCATTATTGTCATTATTATCATTATTATCATTATTACCATTATTGCCATAGATAATAATTCGATATTAAGATTTGAAAGTCGAATGATTAAGTAAGATTCTATAATAAAAGTTTTTTGACACGTAAACGGATATAAAAGTTATTTTTATCTGGCTGATTACAATTATTTACCAACTAATTTATCAAATTTAAGATTAGGAATCGATTTCCAAAAAATTCAAATTTTGACTAATCTTAAATTCTTGATCAATGAACCATTGTCAAGTAAGTACTGCCCGATAACTTATATAGAAGTACTATCTAACTAAATAAAACAAGAAATTTTAGAAGAAAATAGTATAATGTTAAGAATTTGCGAACTAGCCGTGTTATGTACATATCGGACACTAATTTGGAAATATATTCTGCGACTAATCCGGATCATCTGAGCACTAATTGAATTTTTTCTTAAACGTATATAAATCTCCGTTAGTATATAATCGGAGTTTATCTTGAATTTATATCCTTTATTAAGAAAGATAATAAACCGTTAATACGTATTCTCAAACATCACACAATAAAAGCAGGTAATCTGAATTCCCTAATCTACATATCGATAGGAAAAATTAGCAAGTAAAAATTTATCCCATGCAGGGGATAAATCTTCACTCACATAAACCTTGTCAAACTTATTTTTAGAATTTCGGATTTGTTTAGCCTCATTATTTCAACTAACCATTTATCATTTATTGTTTTACCGACCACACGACGTAAAAGACGCGGTCCTTCATGATTATCAAAAATGATTCAGGATCTCTACATCTTTTATAAAGCCTGATTTAAAAGATTGTTTTTTCATAATTCTCTTATTACATTTACGATAAAATTTGTACTTTTTCGTTAATAATTTCAACAATTATGACTAGTATTTCCGCGTTATTAACAAATTCAACTATTATGTTTAATATTTTCGCGCTATTTGTAAATATCGATCCACCTACTCTCCAAATTTCAAATGTGAATGATTTAACATTCATGAATAATTCAATGTTAATGAATAATTTTTCCTCTTTATTCACAAATTCAATGTTAATGAATAATGTTACCTCTTTATTCACAAATTCAATGTCAATGAAAAATGTTACCTCTTTATTCACAAATTCAATGTTAATGACAAATTCAATGTTAACGAATAATGTTTCCACGCTATTCACCAATAATAACCTTCCAAAAAATTCAACTATTTTTCTACTTTTATTTGTAACTTACATTTTTCGATTCTATTTTATTTACTTTACCCGACCAAATCCTATACCTGGACCAATACCATTACCAATTGTAGGAAATTTGTTTCAAATAGGTTTTTGTTTACTAACTTCGGTTAAAAAATTTCAATTGAAATATGGTGACATCTTTGAACTTTACATGTTTTCTGAACGTAATATTTGGTTATGTAATCCTTCATTAGTTGAAAAACTTTTTACAAATTCTACAAAAACAAATTTCTTTTGTAGAGCTTTATCTACTAATGGATTTAAAGAATTAGGAATGCATAAAGTTGGAATTGGTTTTAATAGAGATTTCGAAAGTTGGAAATATAATCGTAGAATTTTAAATTATACACTTACAAATATTAAAGTTTTAAAAGGATATATGAATGCTGTTAAAAATTTATTTGTAGAAATTGAAGGTTATTGGAAAGATTTAAACTTTGAAAATAATGAAGAATCTAAAGAAATTAATGAATTTGTTATTGATTTTAGTCAATGGATGAGAAGATTTATAACTGATCTTGCTTTAAATATGAATCTCGGTGATCATGCATTTAGTATGGCTGGTTATTATAATTTTCTTTCTAAAAATAAAAAAAAACGAACTTCTGAAATTATCGAATCGGAAAAATTCATTAAAAGTTTTGTAACATGGGTAAAACATAGTATGTTATTTATCTTTTTTTTTTTTTTAATACCGGAATCCTTTATGTACGTACTAATAATATGATATCTGATATGTCAATTCTAAAATTACTGCTTTATCTATTTTTTTCTTTTTTTTTTTTTTAGTAATATTCATGACGTTTTGTCCTTCGAATTTCATTCGTCATTATATCCCTCCAATATCTTTTTTTCAGTTAAGATTTCAATCAAATTATAATTGGTTGACCAATGAATTTTCTAGAATCATTCAAAAACGTAAACAAGAAATTGAAAATGTACCTTTGGATAAACTCGATAGATATGATGTTTTAAATACATTATTAACCGTAAACAAAGCTCAAGAATTAAAAGGTAATAACGGAATGGCTATAAGATCAATGAATGAAAGTGAGATTTTTGGTGTTTTACTTGAATTTTTTGTTGCTGGTGTTGAAACGGTATGTTTAAAAAAAATTTTTTTTTTGAAAAATTATAAATTGTCTTTAAATAAATTTTTTTTTTTTTTTTACCAAAAAAAAATATTAATAAAAATTTTATCATTATTCAGATTTTAAGTCTTACATGCTTCATTGTTTATTATGTATGCAAGCATCCTTCAGTAAAACAAAAACTTATTCAAGAAATTGATTCTGTATTTCCTACTACATTACCGTCAAGTGATAACATCACTTATGAAAAACTTATGAATAATCTTCCTTATTGTGATGCGATCGTTAAAGAAACGAGTCGTTTAAAAACAAATCCACCAATTAATCCTCGTGAACTTTATGAACAAGACGAAATTGGGGGATATACAATTCCAAAGGGTGCTACGGTAATTGCAAGTGTAGATGCCATTCATTTACATAAAGATTATTGGGAAAAACCTACAGAATTTATTCCTGAAAGATTCTTATCTAACGATTATCCATTATCCATGTCACAAAAATTATTAACTTTTGGTGGTGGATTAAGAGGTTGTGTTGGTAAACAAGTGGCAATGGTTGAAGTTAAAACTATTTTGGTTTTATTATTTAGAAAGTATGATATCGAACTGGTAAATGAAAACATGGATGCAAAAGATAAAACTTATCTTCTTAATAGTTGTAGTCAATTGATGATTAGGCTTAAGCCCAGAACAGTGGTTTAAGTATGACAAGGGGTATTTTTGTTGTGAATGCTATATAAATTATTATTTCCTTTGTGAATGCTAAAGATTATTGTATAATTATTAATTTCTTTGTGAATCTTAAAGAATGCTAAAGATTATTGTATACTTATTATTTACTTATTATTTTCTTCTTTGTTCATTTATTCTGAATTTCTTTGTTTTTAATATAATTACTATATACTTTGTAATAAATTTGAAATTTTAATCGGTTTATTGTTATACTTTGGCGACATTCAAAATTTTAGGTCAAAATTATGTATAATGAGGGTCAAAATTTTGTCACCAGCATAAAACTGATGGGATACAAACTGTCCAACCTAAAAAATTTCGCTGCTATATGAGGTTAGGAATGGTTTTTTTCTAATACCAAAATATCGTAAGGAAAACTTTTTATTAGTGCGCAGAAGGCAGTTTCATAGGTAAAAAATGTTGTTTCATTACATCTGATCCTGAAATATGATTGGTTGGAGAAAAAGTAGCGGCCTCCGATCAAAGCTTAGATAAGTAAATAAACTCAATAAACCGAAAGTGCTATTATAACGGATATTTTTTTCAGCTAGAATTTTATAGTTTAAATTACCTTAATATAACGAATTTTAATTATAAAACCTCGGTATATCGAATTACGAATTTATTTATAAGAAAATTACCTTGATATAACAAATACCTCAATAAAGAGAAATATAAGCAAATATTTACTATATAACAATCTTAATCAAAGTGTAATCAAAGTATAATCAAACTATAAATATTTTTTTTACTTGAAATATTTACATTGTTTTTTTTTTCAGTACGAATACAGTTACAAATAAATACGTAGCAAATTGAAAATAAACCTAATAATACTCTAAAGAAAAAAAGAGGTACCTTGATCAATAGCTAATGGTATAATTCATGTTTTTAGAAAAAAAATAAGTCTAGTATTAAAAATCAGAAACTTGCAATCAAATTTAGAATTAGTAAATCTTTTTGTAATAAGATTTTAGTAAAGTCAAATCACCAGTTATTTATTGATCTAACTTCTAATAACACAAATAATATATGAAACAAAAACCTAATTTTGTAAATGTTAAGTCAGTTATTGCATTTTGGATTAACATGTGATAGAAAATAAGTAAACCTTAACTAGTTAGTTATTTTATTTAAAATAAAGCAAAAAAATTTACTCAATTATTAAATAAAAATAATTTTAATACATTAAATATATGATTGTATAATTTTAAATAAAGGTTCAAAAATTTAAATATAAATATTAAAGTAAAGCAGATAATGTATTTTTAAATAAATTATATGAATTTAAAAATAAATTATAAAGTATTATTTAACTATATTAACTTTATAATATTTTTTAAAAATATAGTAACTTAGTAAAATAAATAAATTGTCACTTTTTAAATAACAGGTTAAAAATTTAAAATTTATTAATAATAAAAATTTGAACAATCATCTGTGTTATAGTAACTATTTTTTGTCAATTAATTGAGATAAAATACCTGTAACTATTATCACATTAGTATAACTGGCAGGTCATAAAGCATCTGTATAACCTTGGGTATATAAAAAAATATAGACTAGTATTAAATAATACAAATCTAAGATAAATTTTTATAGTTATATAAATCTATAAAACTGAGAAAATAGAAACTTATTTAAGAAGATCTAAATAGAGAAGTAATATAAATTTTAATGATACAATTATAAAAATTAGATTTAGAAAATAAATATTAATATGAAAGAGTTTAATAGATATAAACCTTTAGATAAAGGATATCATTAACTAGATTATTAAATTTGCACTAAAGAAAAAAAATATTAGGTCAGACTTAATATACTAAAAACAAATTATAGTTTTTTTAAAATATTTAAATTAGAAATCTAAAAATAAAGCAAAAATTTACTAAAATATTAAAAATATGTTGTAAAATTAATACTGAGTTTAGATGAATTTTATAAAAATATAATCTTGTTAATAAAATTATAAAATAAGTAAATTAGTTAATAAAAAGACTTTTTTGAAACTATTATTAGATGATATATTTTAAAATAAATAATAATCTAGATATGAAGAATAGTGATCCTAATATAGTAGTTGGGTTGTTATCCTTTAAGTAACAGGTCTAAGATTCAAATTTCACCTACAATAAAATTTGGAAATTAACATATATTACAGAAACTGTCTTCTGTCAATCGGTTGGCCTCATGTGGCTGTAATCTAGGTATATCAAGTCAGGTCCTACTCATCATTGGGAGCTTAGAACATCTATGTGAAGTATAACATTATACATATATAGAGGAATGTTAATAACTGGTATTTCATAAGACTTCAGTGCAAATCTATAATAAAACTGCCAGATGCAGAAGACTAAGGAACCAAGAAAACAGAATCCTACTTGAAATTTCTAAGTAAAGAAGTAGTACAAAATTTAACAGTACTATCAGACTAATAAAAGTCTACAAAATGCCTTTATAGGAACAGGCAAATAAACTGGATAATAAGATGTATAGAGGAGCATATGATCAACCAGATTGCTAGAATCGCTAAAAGAAAAGAATACTAAGGTATACTATACTAGGCTATCTGGATTGGAAATCTAGAAGTTTGTTAGTTCTGAGTTGCAGTTAATAAGGGATGATAGTAAAGATGTCAAAAAGATAGGTACTGGGGTTTGAATGAACTTTACAAAGATAAAAATAGTGTAATGTAGCAGTTTAAGGTTAGTCCTAACTGCAAGTATTAGGTAACTATAGTGTATTATATAAAACTAGATTAGCTGTGTGTAGAACACAAAAGGCTCTAGTAATGATACTTTTAAGAATACATTGCATGAAATAAAGTATGGAGTCCTAAAAATATAGATAAGCATTTAGACCTTCTTGATTGACTTACATAGTAAAGATAATCTAGTGATACAATAAGGATTGCAGTACAGAGAGTTTAAATAGGCAACACCTCTAGTTGGGTTGCAGATATGGCAACTAGTATAGAACTATTAGCGGACTACTTAATTAGACATCAAAAATGTATATGTAATTACTTATATTCTCTAATATAAGAAGACTTTTTTGAGGCCTTAGCTATAAGTCTCTATGTTTTAACTATACTAAATAAAAGCCCTAGTTCCAAAAAAAGCAGTTTAAATTAAAAAAAAATAATCTAAATATAAGTTCAGAAAGAAAAGTTATATGCTATTTAGATAATATATAAAAATATATATAGAAAATTAGTAACAGATTAAGATTTGGTAGAAGCAAATAATTAAAAGATTTAAATAAAAAATTTTTTAGTAAATTATAAATATAATATTTAGTATAGAACCTTAAAATAAACTACTTAAATAGATAACTAAATATTATATATATGTCTAGTTATACTTTTATATTTATAATAAATAGTTGTAATAGTTAACTCTAAATTATTAATAAATTATTATTACAAAATATAGTTTTTAATAATAATAATAATAAAATAATATTTTTAATTATAATAAAACTAGTTTATATAATTCTTTTAAACTTTTTTTGCTAATCTTCAATTTTATAAAGTCAAAAATCAATACACTTTAGTTTGCTTAAAAGTTATTTAAATAAACAGATCTTGCATTATTAGAAAAAAAAAGAAATACAAAAACAGTTATAGTTTAATAGAACAACTTTTAGGAGAAGCTGCTTACTCAAAATATAAAAAAAACTTTTTTAAAAATTTTTGGAAAATTTTTGGAAAATTTAAAACTTAGCTGCAACTTTGTAATGTCGATTAATTGATGTATAAACAAATTACAAAGTAAACAATTATGTAAATTTAGTAAACAAATAAGCAAACAAAGTAGTACATATTTAATTAGACAATAAGCATAAAATGTAACTAACTAAATAAAGCATTAATAAGAAGAATAAGACTGTTATTAATTAGTTAAATAAATAAAAGCTTCTAAAAATAGAATAGTATAGAAAGTTAGACAAACAATTAGTATTAAAATACTAATGACAGAAATCAGAAAGCTTTATAACTTAAATTAAAAAACATCAGCAGAAAAGTATGCATATTTGAACAAATTAAAAGATTTTTTTTTTTTAATATTAATGGTGAGGCCATGCCTCTATCTTTATTGAATATTTATTTAAAATTTTTACATAAAG